TTTTTATCTATGTTTTTTTTAACTTCCTTTGTTCTATATGGACTTTAGGTAATTGCTTTTTTTAATATGACTTTAATTCATGTATCCATTATTTTTCTGTTATCCACACAAGTTGAATGTAATGAAGGCTGATACACGTAATTATATATGTGTACTGTTTTACTGCCACCTAGTGTGTCGTATTGGAACGGCACGCCTCATACATAAGCCCCTCCCACATTACGTACTAGGAAAAGTGACAAACTCCTGAGCGTTAAGGTAAGTGCTAGCTAAACAGTATGGATGGAGATTTTGATGATGTAACATCGATAAATGTTTGTTCCGACTACCGGAATGCGAAAATATGTATTTTGCGTGTTTATGGAATGTCGTGAAAAAGTATTAGGCGTCACTGTGTTGAAATAGTAACTTTTTTTTACAAAGACGTACTTGGCATTAGCTGTTGAAGCTAATGCTGAGTAGCCGCGCTAAGTGTTTTTGGTACTTGACCGTTACCTTAACGGTCGCACCGCTGATAACGGCTGGTTTTTATTTAAATTGTGTAAGCTTTGTTTTATTAAATGTTTTTTTGTTTTGTTTTTTGTTTTGTTATATAAAAAAATAAAAGGGATTAATCTTTTTTATTATACTGTGTCATTCGTGGGATTTATCTTTTTTATTATACTGTGTCATTCGTTTGTTTGTTGTTTTCTAGCACTGCAGTTAGCATTGCTAATAACGGCCGAATTTCAATATCATACCGGAATAATACCCGATGTCTGAGCTGTCATTAAAGGGACCAGAGCCAAGAGCAACATGAGTGTAAGTCATCCTGTCATTAAACTGTTACGTTTCAGATGGTTGTTAATACATTTTCATAAATGGTACAAAGCTTTAAAAACAATTGTTGCTCCAACATGTTAGAGTTTGTTTCATACTTTGACCCTTCAGTATAAAAGTTTCAATCTCTGGAGGTGGTTCTCACATGATGTGTACTGTCAAAAACGTGTATTCACCATTGAGTCTTTGCAATGTTTCAGTATGTTATTTCCTATTTAAATTCTCAATCCTTTGCGTTGAAATCCCATGCACTTTTAGATGTGAATAAATAGCTGTGAAGTGGATGTTTATAATTAATCTCCACTTGTTAACACGGTTGCGACTGGAGCTTTATCTAAATGTTGGCAGTTACAGTAAATAAGGCAAGTAAATCAGAGTTAATTTTCCCCAACTTCACACCCAGCTATGATGTATGTGTGGAGCATTATTAAAACGAGTTTGTATCTGATGTCACCGCTACAGCTTTGGTTAACGGCCTCTGCTGCAACTACTACAAACAGTGCGGTGCGCATTTAAGAGGCCCAGAAGGTCACCACACTCTCCAGGTTGTCTTAAATCCGATAAATACAGATCCACCTGCAAACTCAGCGGTCTAACACTATGCAAATGAGTCAGATTATTGATCACTTAATCAATCTGTGTGTAGAAAATAGCTTTTTCACCACCGCAGTAGTAGGACGCTAGCAGTGAGGGTAAATAAAGTTCTTCTTTAGTCACAAAAGTGGTTATTTAAACACAAACTTTCTTTGGAAAAACATCTATGTTTTGGTTCGGTTTAACCTGTCATTATTTGGGTCTGAGTTTTATCTAAATCTCAGCTAACCTGTATTAGGTACAGTATTTAGAATTTTACTTTTTTTTTCACATGCAGGACGACATTTTATATTTTGACATATTCCTCCATTCTTCAGTCTTTCTGTATTTATTTTTTTAGCTCACAATTAGAAATTTGTCTGCATTGAGTAATTATTCACTAACATGAGTATGTTCAGTTATAATGTGTGAACCCTGTTTCTCCTCTCTCTCTTGTGTTCTCCTCATTGATGATAAGCCCGTCCACCAGTTAGTCCAACAGATGCATCTATTTGTCAGAGCTTTTGTCTTTTGGTTCTGTTAAACTGCATCAAGAGGCCATGTGGCACAAAGTGAGCCCGGCCTGCTGCAGGAAGTAGCCCTGATTTTATTTTTCTGCATCAGACTGTCAGAAACCTACTTCAGGCGACCTAGTTTTATTGCAGCAAACTTTATTACATGAAGGAGAAAAATATATTTATTAACCAAAAGTCACTTATTGTGTTATTGCAAACAGAATCAACTATCGTGTGTTAAAATCCTCTGTGTGTTATTGTTCATAAAATGTTATTGGCAAAAGCCACATAGGCTGTAAACCTCGCTCAATTGAGCTGACGTGACAAAACAAATGGCCCACATAGGCTGTAAACCTCGCTCAGTTGAGCTGACGTGACAAAACAAATGGCCACACCAGTAGCTATTTGTGCTCCAGTACATTTTCACATGTACTGTAACAAACTGATTATTGCTGTTCCAGCCTTAATGACTCTTAAGAGACGACGCAAACATTGTACCAGAAACTAATTAAAGCAGCAATAAACGACCTGTGTGTCATTAAGACATAGCAGCAGCACAGGACCAATAAAGAGCAGGTAGTTTTCCTTAGAGCCAGCGCTGTGGTATTAGATCAGGATTAGAAACCAATGGGGGTCTGGGAATTCACTACTTTAGACTTTGGAAAAGACAGGAGTGAAAAAGGTTCAAATAAGTTTCTGTAGCAAAGTAACTGACATGTTTTTTTTTTCAATATTATATGCCAGATTATCAAATGTGTTGCAGAGTAATGTACAGGTGAAAACAAGAGAAATAAGCCATTAGGAAAGGCTTTAAAAAATAGCCATGAACATGTTCTTTGTTTCTTTTATTTTCCCAATAAAACCAAGAAAAAAATCTTACGATTTAAGGGAAACTCACAACTGCAGTAGTCAAATATACTACAAAAATATCTAAAAGATCTGAAAAACATCCAGACATTGGCATAAAATAAAATAAGTATTAGATGAAAATGGATAATATGTTACTGTTACTGTAGCTGAATGGCATAGTGAACCAGAACTGTTCAGAAATGAGAAATAAAAAATGTAATTCCAGTTCTTTTGGTCAGAAATCATTTAGACTTTTACATTCTTTTTTTTTTTTTTAAACAACACTGTTTTTTTACATTCTTTCTTTTTTTAAAACAACACTGTTTTCTTGCCAAAAGCGAAACTGAACAAATGCATTTTTTATGGAGGATCAATATAAGGCGTTGATAAGTATAGAAGGCGTTGATACTCTAATCAGTCCTTATATTACAGTGACAGATTTAGGCCAGAAACGTAGCTTGAAATGCTCACATTAACACACAAGTTTAATTTTAATGGTCCAGATATGAACTGGTCTGAGGTCAGATGCTGTTGACGTAACCTGGTCCAGCTGAGATGTTGAATTCTCCAGTCACTCACATATGATTATTAGTCAGCATTTGTGGACTGACTTACTACTCCTGATGGACTGCGACGATTTTGATCGTTTGCACGTATTTCCTCCTCACCCACGTCCAGTCTCTTGGATGACACAAATCCAGTTGTATTCATTTTGTACACAAGAAAAGCTTTTCCCTAATTATTCTCCTTGTTTTAGCCCTTCCTCCCTCTACACATTTACATCCCAGCAGCCCTCCTCTTCTTCATCCTCCTCCTCTTCTTCCTCCTCCTCACTCCCTGTGCCCCAGGGCTGAATTATGAAGTCCCAGGACACCAATCAGCACAAATTGATTTAATCTTAACTGTAACCACAGGGGATGAGGATACGTTTATTGATATCGTTCCCTCCCGTGAGTTTTTTATTTTAATTTTTTTTCTGCTGAGGAGTGATTTTTGTTTTTTTTTTTGCAGGAGGAAATTAATTTGTGCGCGTACATAATTCTCAGCTCAAAATCGTGGGGAAACGGTAATCTCCCCTCAGCCTCATGTAAATCAGCCTCAGTCAATAAGTCTCCCCCAGACTGTTGTTGCCAAGGAGCAGTGGGCGGAAGGCCAGCTGACTTGGCTGTCACTCACAGAGATTTGTCCACAGCCACTCCCTGTGTAACTTACACTCAAATCACAGCCTTCAATACCACAGGCTGAGCAGAGAGATTAGGTTGTTCCTCCTGACCAGACCTGATCAGTTTACCTGCAGGAGCCACTGTGAACTGTGAACTGTTCCTTCGTACGAGAAGATTTTTTTCTTTGTCCTGCCCCTCCTTCGTATGAGAAGATTTTTTTTCATTGTCCTGTCCCTTTATCCCATGCCATTATTTTGAACATTAGTTTTTATCTAATAACATTTTTCCTGTATTTTTGAAACAGCAGTATGACTGAATGAAGTAGAGTTTTATTCTGTCCCTCCCCCACGTCGTCTCCCACACACTTCAAGGTCAGAGTCGGATTTAGATGAAGCTCATATTTAATTGCAATGTGAAGGATTAAGAGAGAAATGTACTGTATGACGTGAATGTGAGTCCTCATAAATATAGCTGTACGTGTGTGTGTGAGTGTGTGTCTGGTGCTGAGGTATCCTGTTCATGTCAGTCATGTTTGCTGGGATGGCTCTTGTCTGACAAAGAGTTTTAAATAAAAAAAAGGGCAAACTGACACATGTTAGTGGGAATTCAGGGTAAAAATGTGTTTTAACTTAAACATTTTTCAAACCATCCACCAGAAATGGATGGAAATGAGAGAAATAAATGTTAGACGAAAATATTTAACTCTCATCGACTCTGTTCAAAAGTAAAACAAATCCATGTTTTTATTACAGTTACGTACAAAAAAAGTTGAATTTCCACACAGGTCAGGGGTCCACTGTCTCAACATAAAACACTCTATCCACAAATCGATTTGGTTTTTGTCCCCATTTGAAGTTGTCCCAATACCTAATCTTCACACAACTACACAGAAGTGTTACTCATCAACTGTCAATATTTGCTCTGACTCAACTTCAATCTGATACGACTGAACAATATCATTTGTCTTTGAGTCTAAATGAATAACACTCTTGTTTTATCTTTAATTACACTTAGTATTTTCTTTATTTTATCTTTGTCTCCTTCTGTTTTTCTAACTGGTCTCGTCTGAACACACACACAGGAGAACAGATGTGGGCAGAGACGCAGACGTATGAACATGAACACGCAGACTCTGAGTCCTCCCAGGTGAGTAAACAGTGAGTGGCTGTACTTTGGAGCAGCGGATGACTCCCTGCATCATCCAGCATTGGTCTGAGGAGAAGAACGACTGACAGCGACAACATGGCCGGAGTTTGTTTACTGGCCGTCATTGCTGCGTTACTGTGTGGACTGGCTGCTCGCGTCACGGAGAAGAAAACAGGTAAACGTCAGGTACAGATACAGTATAGTCGGGACGGAGGAGTAGGGTTTGAGATACCAGACTGTTGGTCAGCAGCCCTGAACTCTGAGCCAAACCACCGGGAATCACAGACGGTCTTTTTTCATTTTCATTTTTCATCACAGCACCTAAATAAAGATGTAATTTTTTTTTTTTTTAAACAAAATCTAAAAATTTAGAGAAATTAGTCAACGTATTCTTTCCCCCCTGCTGACTGTCATGAGTATTGCCCTGTTTTTTGGTGTTTTTTAAGCTTTTGGACATTTTTCTGCTGACTGTCATGAGTATTGCACTGGTGTTTTTTAAGCTTTTGGACATTTTGATGTGAAGAACTTTTTTGCACGTCACGTTTGCAGTCATTTGTATTTCACAATGTTTTGGCACGGTTAACTGGGCTGTGGTCAATACTCTGAGGCCCGTCCCGGTTGTGGCGCATCATTTAAATAAGGAAGAAGCAAAGAAGTCTATTGTTGATTTAAACAAGTAAGTCATGTGGCTAAAACTTACTGTAGATACCAAAAGGGGCCGTGGAAGTTGGCTGACATTTGGTCCACATTCTGAATGTCACCTTTGGTTCAGACTTGGTTTAGATGTGGTGGACATTCTGAGCTTCAATTTTTGCTTTTCTAAAATGTGGCTGAAACTTGGCATACGAAATAGGAATAAAATGCGGCCGTCATTCTGAATACATAAAGGGACATCGTTGGTGTAGACTAGGTTTGGGTTAGATCTAAAGAAGATTTCAGTTTGGCTGTGATTTCGCCCATATTTTTGATAAAGAAAGGATTTTTTTAAATTGAAATATTTATGACTTTTTCAGGGGACTAAACAGGTAAAATATGTCATTAAGTCAGAGACAATATAAGTAATTGGTTTGGAAAACTGCCACTAAATGTTGTGGCAGCGACACTGCTGCCTCCTGTTACTGCATCACTTGGATTTAAAATTCAACTCTTCTGCAAAATCTCAAAGAGTGAAATAACCTGGTGTGACAGAAGTGACATGAACGGACAAGGACAGGTCTGTCAGTCAAAGCTGTCAGCCAGCAAGGTCAGAGGACAAAGTGGGAAGAGATCCCTCCAAGGTCAGTGGGGCGGAGTGACCTGCAGGAGATCCTTGAGACGAGGATGAGCATTTTAATCAAGGCCACATCCCAGCATGCATCTCCATACAGTTTGAGACCAATGAGATGTAGCTTTTTGTTTTGGAATAAAAAAACATGTACTGCAAACAAATCTGGTGATTTTAAAACACATGACTGGAGTAGCAGTGATGCTCCTTTACTGTCCGTCGTGTGCCTGGCAGTGACCAAACCTCGTGCTGTTAGATTTACACTGCTGTAGAATAATGCATGTGTTTCCCCTCCTTCTCTTCACAGGAGCCGTGTTTGTGTCGCAGCACGCGGCTCACACGATGCTGCTGCGTCAGCGCAGGCACAACACCGGGCGATTGGAAGAAGTGATGAAGGACAACCTGGAGCGGGAGTGTAAGGAGGAGGTGTGCAACTTCGAAGAGGCCAGGGAGGTGTTTGAGAACGAAGAGAAAACTGTGAGCGGATCACACACACACACACACACACACGTGCCTTTTTGCTGTAAAAATCTGATTTGATAAAATATGTTTGTGTGTGTGTTTCTCCTGTAGATGGAGTTCTGGGCAGTATACTTTGGTAAGATGAATTGAACACAACACATGCAAGTACTGTTGGAGACAAAACCATTACGAACAAACTGTTCAGAATGATCACAGTGCATATATGTGTATATATATGTATGGATCTATTCCTTCACTCTGCTCTTGTGGTGAACAGACGGGGACCAGTGTCAGCCTCCACCCTGCCAGAACGATGGTGAGTGTGTGGATGGAATAGGTTCTTACGTTTGCTGGTGCAAACCAAACTTTGGAGGAAAGAACTGTGAGATCGGTGAGTGTGACAAATGAGGAAACACTTATGCTTAGAAATATACTCCGAAAAATAGAGAGTCGGAGAGTGTCAGTTTTAAATACAGTATTTTAATAAAAGTTCCTTCCATGTCAACCAATGTTTTTTTTTTTTTTGCCTGTGCATAGAGTTGGCCAAACAGTGTTCCGTTGACAACGGAGGATGCTCACATTTCTGTGTGATGCAGGGGCAGCGGCCCGAGTGCCAGTGTGCAGCAGGGTACAACCTAGGCTCAGACAAAAGGAGCTGTGAACCAACAGGTACAACATATCAGCATAAACTGAGAAAATCTTTTTTTTTTTTTCAATGTTAGGATTTAACATTTCTTGTCATCACCCATCCTGATGAACGTGGATGCTCTTATGTAGCGTAGCACAGTCCAATCAGCTCACTGTCTGTCCTGCACAAACAAATCATCAATACGATCCCTAAACTCCTCTGTAATAAAGTGTCTATTTTAATTTATAACTACATCGTCTGCATGTGAGATGTGGCGAAGTAAAAACCCTTTGAGTCATAAACCTCCTCTCTAACAGGCAGCCCTGGTAACAAACCAGATATGAAAAGTGATAGAGTAGCAGACTCTGTGAGCATCGATGAGACAGGAGGCAGGAATCATCTCCGGTCCCATCAGGACTGACTCATAAACCAAATGTGTGTTGCTGTTTATACAGTAGCTGACGGAGGAAGAACATAGTTTACTGTCATCACAGAGAGCCTGAAACGTTGAGAACAGAACAGAAACCATTCCGAAATTCAGTATCTGTAACTGCGAGCGTCCCATGTGAACAAATCACAGCCAGCATTGGTAGAAATTCACAAAGGCAGTCAACAGTGTTGTAGCCGAAGGTATAGGTTAGAGGTAAGTTAAAAATGAAACACAAATGAGCTACAAATTAGCCTTAAAGTCTGACAAAAAGGTCAAAGGTCGAAGTAATTTGAATAAAATGAAATATAGTAAAAATAGTAAAAAACATTTCTTGGTGTGTACAGTAGAATGCCAGGAAGTGACGTTGTCTTTTGTTTTGCTTCACCTCCACCTAACCGTGAAGGACAATTCAGCTGTGGCCACGTGGAGTCCAAGACCTCGTCCAGGTCCTTCCTGAGCCCACGAACGGGGAACAACTCAAACTCCAGAGACAATACAAGTTTTAATTTGAGCGACCAGCTGACTTGGGACTACGACGATGACAACATGACGCAGTTTTACGATTACTACGATAGTTTTGTGAATGACTCTGCATCGTCTGAAATCCCATCAGCCTCTTCAGCAGAGACACGTGTTAGATCGCTGAACTCCAGCTTTTCAGTGGCTCCAGACGACAATCAAACCAACAGCAGTGCGTCTGAAGACTTTTCCAATTTTCTATCCTGGGCGTTTTTCCCTACCCTTCCCACCATCACTGAACAAAAAAACACTGACAAGAGGATTGTGGGAGGTAACGAAGCCCCTCCTGGAGGAATTCCATGGCAGGTGGCGTGAAACATTCATAAGATTTATGACCTTTTTTTCTGTCTGTTGTTTTTTTCTTTTGTTTGGTTGAGAACTTTCCTATACATTTATATTAGCAAGTAGGTCCAGCAGGTGGCAGTGATGTAACTCTATATAGTATATATATATATAATGTTTGTTTGTGTGTGCAGGTTACACTGATGTCTCACTCACCTTCTCTTGGTCGAGTTCAGTCCTTCTGTGGAGGATCTCTGCTCAGTGAATTATGGGTAATCACTGCAGCCCACTGCCTGGTGACAAAGGAAGTACTCACACAGGGTTACTTCGTCAGAGTAGGTAGGAAAAAACAATAATAGTCACAGCACATACTCTATAAGTCTACTGTGTGTGTGTGTGTACACCGTAACTTGGGTTACACATGGCACATGCCTTTTTAGATGGTAAAACTGTTTAACTTTAACTTTTTCATGGTGTGTTAGAGGTAACTATTTTTTTGCATCAGTTCTAGTTTGTGGTAGGGTTCACACACTTCACCTGGTTCTGTAAAATAACAAATACTATATCTGTTCCTCTAGGCGAACACGATGTTGACACTGAGGAGGGTCCAGAGCGTGACCACTTGGTGGCAGAGCAACACATCCATCCCAAGTACAATTACACCCAGTCACCGTACAACCACGACATCGCTCTGCTGAAGCTCAGCAATGCAGTGGAACTTTCCCACCAGCGGCGTCCCATCTGCCTGGGCCCCAAAGACTTTACAGAAAGCATCCTGCGAGACTCCAGCAGCTCCCAGGTGAGTGGGTGGGGGCTACTGGCGTCTCGGGGTCGGTCTGCCACCAAGCTCCAGAGGCTGGAAGTGCCCTATGTGGAACGCACAAAGTGTAAACAGAGCAGCCGCTACCAAATCACGCGCTTCATGTTCTGTGCTGGCTTTGAGAATGAACAGAAGGACTCGTGCCACGGCGACAGCGGGGGGCCACATGCCACCAATTTCAAAGGCACTTGGTTCCTGACAGGTATTGTCAGCTGGGGGGAGGACTGCGCCAAAGACGGGAAGTATGGCATCTACACTCGGGTCTCACGGTACTACTCCTGGATCAGTCAGAGGACAGGGCTTCAAATTTGACAACTGATAAAAATAGAGCGGGTCAAAAGAACACAGCTGACGGTCAAGAAGATCTGACTCTTTGCTTTGTTCTGCCCCCGGTGAACGGGTTACTCTGTTGAATCAACTGATGGTTATTCTGACAGTCCAATAAAGTCCAGTCAAACATTTGGATCACTCTCTTTAAACACTGCATTTTTATACACCAATGCAGTATAGGCAGTGCTGTACATTTTTACTCTACTACAGTAAGCAATTGCACATTACATTATTTAACCTGAGACTATATATACAGTCTCTGAATGTCCTAATGTGACAGATATAAAAGTCCCTGCATCCTACAGTGGAGCCATCTAGTGGCCAGACATGCGCATTAAATGTCCTTTTTGCTATAGAGTAGATTTAAAAAACAACTATATAAAATACACTCAATAAATATATACATACATAAATACATGTGCTTATAGTAAATGTTTACTTACCATAAGTTAATAACAACACTCACTTTTTTTTTTCAAATCCATTTGTGCTTTTTTTATTTGGTAAAATAATACTTTACTACATTGTGCATTATTATACAGGCTCTGAACAATGATTGAAAATATCAAAAAGTGCAAAAGCAGCAAACAACAGTTTCAGGTTCTGTGGAAAAAGTCATGGTAAATCTTCGCTGCTACGATCAGTGAAGATTTAGATGTAGTATGGTGAAGACTGCATTGATTTAATACTTCAGATAAATCTATACAAAGCTGCTGTATATTAACCCTAATTGAACCTGTTGGGGCAGATTATTGAGCGATTACATTTCTCCTACTCTGTTAGCCTTTTCTATAGAGATCAGCACTGTCAGCTGATTGGGTGTTAGCATCTAAAGCTTTGATTTATGTCTTTATTTGCAGATCACTGTAGTTGGAGTTAGTCCTGTGAGTAACTGCAGTAAACACCACACACTGGTAGAGTGGCAGTATTTTAGTATTGTCAACTCACTTACTTTGTGAGATTTCTATCTGCTGCTTTTTTTTTTTTTTTTTTACCACATTAGCCAGATTATTCTGCTTCCCTGATGGCAAAATATTTGAGGCCAAGATTTTGCACATATGACACTTTGTTGCGGCCCACAGATGGTGTGAAGTGATGGCACATGACTGAGCTGCTCTATGTTTGCCAGGTCTGGGCCACAAGCTGGTCACAGCAGTGTCAGAATTCAGACGAAAGTAGTGCAAAAAAAAAAAAAAAACCCTAAGAGTGACCTAATAATGTCCTGTTTTGTGGTAAGAAAACTCAGACACATCAGCAAGAACAGTGAATAACAGGAAGTTGGAGTAGTATATGCAGAAGTTTTCTAAAAAAAAACCAAAACAAAACACTGAGTGGAGAGTAAGGATCAGCTCCACGTTATTAATTTGTAGTAAAACCCTTTCTGTGACATTACTTCAGTTGCTGACCTCTGGCTGCCCACTCACTGCTGTTTAGAAGACCTTAAGGATCAGAAAGCATGCGGGTCACTTCAGGGCTGTAGACTCTTCACTCTGCTTCTTATCTACCACCTATTAAGTGCTCGTCTCTGTTGTCTGTTGTTCATGCTGACCACTAACTTCCGGCACGCTCAAGTTATTAATCCGGGGCATTCATGCTGCATTTATAGCACCCCCTGCAGAGCTGGAGGGGTAATTCCGTGCTTTGTATTTACACACAATTCCTGCGTACTCAACATTCGAAGATGCTTGAGTTACATTTGCTGTTTTACATCTGGCAGTGCAGCGTCATTGCCAGGAGTGGAACACCAGGAGTGTGCATGCCGTCAGGGTTTGAAAGCAGAAGGTCTCAGAGAGCTCACAGAGTTATGCTGTAGTTCTACTCTAAGTACTCTAAGTACAATTACGACCCAACAACACCGAGGGTAGTTTATGTAAAACTAGTAACACGAGTTAAAAAAAAATGTATTCACTGTCAGAGTCAGAAGAAAAAAACAAAACAAGCTTCAGTTTAACACCGCTCTAAATTAACACCAGCATTTTAATTATGATCCCATTCAGAGGAAAAAAGACAATAGCGCTGAAGGGACTGTGCAGTGTGTGATTGACAGCTGGACCAGCCAATAAGAGCCTGGTTGCTGATGATGTCAGGGATGATAATGTATAAAACTGAATCCTATTTAGAGGAAAACAGAGGCTGCAGACAACACCAGTGACTACTGGGTTTTAAAACATGCCATTGTTAAAATTTCACTTTTTCCAAACCCTAAAATGGGAATTTGTTTGTAAACAGATTTAGTCTATTTTTTTGTATTGTGAAAAGAACCAAACGGTTCATTGAAAACATTTCAAAACAAGATTTGAACAAAGAAGAGTTACGTATGTACAGAATAAAACCAGGTCGACATTTGCTCTTTGGCACATGAGCAATAATGATATGTTGGTGCATGATCCGATGTGTGAGTCATACGAAAATAGAAGTAATAAATTAAAAGTTCATTGTTGAGGTAAAATTAAAGACACAATCCTC